GCGCGATTCTGACACCTTTTTCAACAATTCAGTAGGCCAGACATTCAATAGGCCAACAAGCGAAATGTGACTAACTTTAGTAGAGGCTGGGATCCTGCCTAGACTGTAGTATTGAGCTTGCACAGCCCATTTTGGGGGTCTTTTGCGATAAATTCCTCTCAAACTCCTCATTATCACTCCAACTCATGATTCTGCAATTTCTAGGATGCACACAGCTACAGAAGTGGATAGCAACAGTCAGTTTGAACTGACTCGTTTGAAGCTTCCGGTGTTATGATCGATGAACAAGGCATTATCCTCTACAGGGTGAGTAACATGTGTCTTTTAGCTAATTTCCTTCCTTCTGATCATCCCTTTAGAGAGCGGGCCGCCTTGGGAGTCTGCGAATGACACACCGTATTTTCACTCTCTAAACAGCTGGCGCGTATAGCAATAAAGGTAGTTCGTAATGGCGGAATTTGATGACTGGCCGGTAGTACCCTGTTGGCCCAACGTGCACAATGAATTCCCGTTGGTTTGATGCGCGCTGGAGATAGCAACGCGGCGCTTGCCACATCGACGGCCCCCCATTCTCGGTATTGCGCCCGCCCGGGTCACCCAGACCTGGATTATAACTGCTGAATGCCCGAAGATGTACGATTGACTTTCATAGTGGGAAAGCAGATAATCAGATTGCAAAACCGATTGATGCCCAAGTTCACTTGCCCAGCTCAGCAAAGAGCAAGTCCGTTAAGTCCAACGGGGCATGTTGAAGGAAAGACAGAGAAACTGATAGGTTGAGAAGTTCTTTCCGCAAGCGACCTCACCACACGACGCGGTCCGCCACCGCGTTCCACAGCAGAACACATTATGATTGTGCCTCGGACAACGAAGGCATGTCAAAAGGATAGACAAAGGATTCGGCAATTAGACAATCAAGAAAGGGTGGTTACGACGCAACTCGTCCAACCACCGTAGACTTAGTGGAATAGCTCAAGTTATCAAGACAGTTGATCATGGGTAGTTACGGCGATGGAATTTCTGTTAGAATCTGGCGTTACGCCTTTTCCCCTCTGACCCTCCGCCCTCCGCCCTCCGCCCAACATTGTTCGAAAGAATGACCAAGTTTCCCGCACCTCGTGTTGGTACAGCGGACCGCTGATTTAGCAGTGTGACCCCGACTGTTCGACTTTCCGGATGTGGTATCCATGGCAGCAGCTTCCGCCCGGTATTTCTCTTCTTGGAGGATGTGCATGATGAGGGCATTGGTGAAAAAATTTGTATCAGTGAAAGTGGCACGAGTGAAGGATTTAACGTTGTCATAAGAACGGGGGAGAGCTTGAGACACGGCGATGGAAAAATCGCCATCACGCATTTCTTCTCCAAGTGAAGCTAGCTGGTAGCGAAGCTCACACATGGCATCAATCTGGGGTTCCAGCGGCTTCGAACCATCCATTCGAAAGCGATAGATTCGAGAGGAAAGTTCGGTTGCCTCTAGGAACACGGTCCCGTCATATTGATCTGAGAGGGCTTTCCAGGCATCTCGTGCGTGGGTCTTATCCCGGAGAAAAAGCAGAGCCATGTCGCCGATATAGCATTTGATTCGGGTTACGGCTTTCTTATCCTTCTTTAGCCAATCGTCAAGCTCTTGGCCTTGGGCCGTTGGCTTAGCAGTGCCTTGAGTGGAAGGGTCTACTACATCCCATAGGTCCTCCGCCTGTAAGATGAGCTCCATCCTCATTGCCCAAGTCCGATAGTTTTTTCCGTCGTTGCCTAAATGCTTGATGGGGTACCAAGTGGTGAATTCGGACATCACGGAAGGATGTTGGATGAAGTTGTCGCGTCTCAGTTCCGACCGTATAGGAGGTAGTAGTTGTATCGTGCTGGGGTACAGATATAGGTCTCAACGAGATGTTTTCACAAGGAAAGGATCATACCTTGGTTTTACCGTGTACTGTGAACTAAAGGAAGAACCAGAAAACAAAAGAATTTCCGGCTATAAGCGTAGGGCTTTGGATTGTCTACAAACGTCGTGGTCAAGATAGCAAGCAAGGAAGAAAGCACTGTGCGCACGGACTCAGTTTCGTAGTGGAGAACCGAGGGGGAGCCCAAAAAACCCGCAGCGCAACCAGGCCTTCATGTGACGAGGCGTTAACAGCGATAATTGACCGGCAAAAAGAAAGCAGATCAGTCAATTAAGAAATAAGAAATAATTGGTGGGGGGGCGGTTACTGTCTCGCATCAATACTGAACTAATCAAGACAAGCGTTGTTAGCCACGATCAGAAAGGACGCCAACACTCTCAACACAATGCGAGCGTTCAAGAGCGTCAGTCGGAGTTGACCCTCAAAAAAAACAAAGTCATCGGAAAAATGTCAAAACATCGTCGATCGAAACGTGCAAGGTATTCTATCTGAAACACTCGCCCGAGAACTCACTCACTCTGTTAGGAATTCAACGGTTACTTCGGGCGCTTTGGAATGGCTTTGGCCACTATAACCTTAAGTTGGAGTGGCCACAGCTCTATATTTTTTATTCGACCATATGGTGCTTTGACCTTAGCCTTACAAGGAATATAAATTCATCTTTCGTTCGCACACCAAACGCCTCCCCTCAATTCACTCCATCGCAAAAACTGAGTCGGCGGTTATAGTATTTTTTTTTTTTTGGGTGCACTCTCCTCGGGACTTGCCAATAATCATGAAAGCCGCAGGGGAGCAAATGAATTTTTCGTTTGCGCGCGCGCTTACGGGAATTGCCATCATTGGAACTTAATTCAATTTTGATTTTTCTGTCTTCCCCGAGAACATGGATATTGCACATTTGAACCAAGAACGTACTTTGCCTATAATTAAGTTATGGATAGAGAAAGGTGTCTTAAGCAGGGTCCGTTTCTTTTCCTCGCCCCCCTCCTCTTCCAGAATGCATCGATTATGGGTCTGTGACTTACTTGGGCTGATTGTTTTGACTAGGAGGAAGTAAAGATGATCGTAAAACGTCGTGAAAAGTTCGAGGCAGCTCTTTTGGGAACCATACAACGCAAAACGGACTATCTCAAGTACGTAGAATATGAGATGACCCTGAATGAGTTGATACAGAAACGTATCAAGCGACAAAGTGCGTTTATATTTACCAAGTACTCGTCTTGTTGGGGCCACGGTTTTTCTTACGATGCGACTATGTATCATCATCCTCCCCCCTCCTCTTTTTTGTTTAGACATTGAAATCAAATTAGACTCCCAACAAAGAGAAGGAAGTATACCTTATAGAGTTTATAAAATCTTTGAACGTGGTATACGGAAGTTCCAGAGTGATCTTGGGATCTGGGTGCAGTACATTCAGGCTGCTAAGAGGTTCCGTGCAGACACGAGGGTAACATCGATATGTGCAAGGTTAGTCAATGTTCCTTCTTGCAACTATGCGTGCCCCTCGTTGGCCTGATAATCATTAACGTATTTTTCTTTTTCTTTTTTTTGCCACAGAGCTATGCAACTACATCCTACATCCCCCGCTTTATTCATCCTTTCATCTTCTGAAGAAGTCAGCAGAGGATCATATTCAGCTGCACGTACGCTTCTCCAACGTGGTCTCCGTTTGAATCCAGAAAGTACGGAACTCTGGACGGAATACGTCAAGATGGAAATGAACCATACCGAAGTTCTTCGAGAGGTCCATGAGGAGCGAGAGCAGGAGGAGGAGGAGGGGGAGGAAGCAGCAGCACCTGAAAGTGCTGAATCGGTTAAAGTTATCCTTGATGGTGGGATTGTAAAGACGGTTATGGATCAAGCCATGAAAGGTGCAGCCCAAGTTAAATATAATGTCTTTTTTTTCTGTTTTCTAATACAACGCTCTATTCCCAAACGATGACGTTCCAACCCGACATGAACATTTTTGACAGATGTCAAGAATCTGTCGATCTTTCACAACCTTCAAGCTCTCATCACATCACATCCAACACCCCTTCGTCCCCCACTTCTCAAAACGCTCTATGATCAACTTATCGATCGACACCCTTCATCTCCCGAAGCGCTCGTCTTGTACGCGTCTCGTCACTTGGACACCATCGACTCGAATACGCCTGAATTCGTGGATGGCCTTCGAAATGCGAATGAAGAACTTCTTAGTGGGGCAAAGAAGTTAAACGAGGAAGCATGTGAAACGGGGAATTATTCTCGAGGGCGCGAAATGATGGATGCGTATGCGAGATGGGTTGAGAATCGAGTGGCGAATTTAAAGATAGATGATTTGGTGAGTGATCATTCCTTTCCTTGTCCCCCCCCCCCCCAAGTCCTAACTACGACCTTTCTAATTCCGGATGTTGGATACGCACAACCCCTTCGCGTGTCTACCTACAATCATCGCCATTCATTTTCATTTTCATTTTTTTCTTTTCCGAACAACCTTAGAAACGATACATCATCCTCTCGTTGGTATCTCTAGTCTCTCAAGTCTCTCCGGCCGTCCGAACTTCTACTCTCCTCCGAACGACGCTCCAATTATCCCTCCACCCGGTTCTCTTCACTCCTTCATCCCCGACATTCAAAAAGTACGCTTCAAAAGTCTTGAAGCGTGCTCGGGAGTATACTCGTTCATCAAAGGGGCTTCCACTCCTTCATCGACACACCAACAGCAACGAGAACGAGGAAGACGACAGGGAAGAGGGAATTACTTCTAAGAGAGCGGAGGTAAATGAGGCATGGACACATCCTGGCTTATGGCTCGTTCGGTTACAGATTGAGAAAGCTGTTCTCGATGCTTTCCCGTCCGGTTCCGTTGTGGATGTTGAACAAGTGAGGAACGCTTGGAAGGAGGGAAGGAACGTTGTTCGAGCGAGCAAGGTGAAAGATGAGAGAGTTGAGAGGGAGGATGCTGTTAAAGTTTGGATGTGGGGTATTTCGAATCTGGAGTTTGGAGAAGATGAAGATCCGTTTGAGGTGGAGTTTCTCTCACTTTGCTTAGATGATGACTGATTATCTCCTTTTCTTTACGTCTTCCGTCAAACGCCTGCATACATACATACTAGGAACTCTTACGAGAATCGAAATCATACTCGCTAACGGTAGTCCATACCTCCCTTTTGCTTCATTATATCCAACGACGCCACCCACGTCTAACGCCCTCCGAACGAATGGCAGATTTACGACACCTTACGACAAAACAATTTCCCTCATCTACTTTCTATCCCTCTGCATTCACCTTTGAAGCGTCGCTCGCCGACGTATCCTCTTCTTCCTCGACATCACGACGAGACGCAAGCACAAACTCGAATTCGAATTCAACGATCGCTATCACTACGACACCTACGAAGAACCCCCACCTCGAACTTAAACCTATCCTGGAACTCATCTTTGAGCGGTGGAGGATCATCAAAGGGCAGGAAAGACGAGCGAGTAAAGTATGGGCGGAATGGCTTTTGAGAAAAGGGAAATTGGGGGAGGAAGCGAGCAAGGTTATTAGGACGTTGTGTGCTGGATTTGGGAGGAGGAGCGTTGAGAGGGAGGTTATGGAGAAGTGGTGGTGTGAAATTTTGGATCGGGTGGTAAAGGGGGAGGGGGAGAGGGAGAGCGGGGATGAGGATGGGGAGGACGAGGGAAGTGAGGATGGGGAGGGCGTTGAGGGTATTGAGGTGGAGGATGAGGGTGTGAATAGGGAAGGGGAAGGGGGTGATGGTGAGGATGGACGAGAAAGGAAGAGAAGAAAGCGAGTGGAAGAAGAAGTCATTTGGTTGTAGGACGGGTCGTTGGATCTTTCAAATTGGAGGTTCGTTTTGCATGGAGGTGTGAACCTGGTGGTTGAATGGATCGTGATGGGATCCATAGATAGATACCCATCTAGCTTTTGGGGGCTGGCCGTGAGGTGTGCATGTGGCGCAAGTGGAGGGGGGGGGGGAACGGGAAAAAGTATATACATATCACCTCAATGATTTAGTTATTGGCATAAGAAGGACTTTAATTCTGGCACGCACATGGGGCTCGCGCGCGTGCGCGAGGGGATAACTTGAATGGATTCAAACTTCTGGCGCAGCTAGTGCTCATATCATTGACGTGCATGTGCAATCGTAATATGCAGTAATATCTACACTTATCCGGATCGTGGGAAGCTATGTAGTACAAGTTACATACATACCTTGTGGTGATAACCCGGGAGAGGACGAATTGACATATCGTATTGATCCCTCTGTCCGGTCAGGCAAGCAAAATTAAGTGCGGATGATCTATATATATATATACTACAGCAGTTATGTATGCATGTATCCACTGAAATGACTTGTTATGTATGACCGCCGGATCCGCGGAGGTACTTGCTACTACGACCCAGCGGCGGCGGGGCCGGGACGGGTCCATTTGCACGCAGTACATCGTTATGGAATACTGCATGATACCATGATATTATATTGCCTGTTGTATTCTCATGCAATGTGTATCTTGTGGTCATGTCATTCGTGCGCGGCGAGTGGCGGGTAGATATATATTTGTACATACATATATGCATGCCAAAGAAAAACACACACACATGCACACTTCTTCATCAATGAGCATGGATCAGCGCAAGTACTGTACATAATTTTGACCCTTTGCATGGGCGGTACGTTTCTGGACCTGGGAGGAATTAATGTCAGGAGGGGGTTAATGTTGGGTTACCTGCATAACTGTAAGAAGTTAGAACTAGGCGGGAATACTATGTACTTCAAGTTCGTTGGTACAGTACAGTTTCTTCGATTCGCGAAGCTCCAGCCCCTCCCCCCACCCAAGCGCGCGAAAAGTGCTCGAGCTGTTTTTGCGCGCGTGCGCAGCGCAGCGCATGGTACGCCTATAATAATCCATATATACATGCATGGATGGCCCAACCCATTGGTTAATATAATCCGAGAGTTTACATATGCCTCATGCATGGATACATATAATATAGCTATATCGACATCGAAATTCTTTTTTGATGATCCCAGGGATCGAATGCATTGATCAGTTTAAGCTTCCTCATGTATCGACGCGCGACGAGGCGAGCTATTGGGGTTCTGGGAAATATGTTGTTGGGGGGTGAATCGAGCTAACTACCAAGAATTTAAGGGTCATGGCGCGCGTTCCCGTGTGGAACAACGTATGTATGTGAGTGTAGTTATCCGGACCAGGATTTATAATATTATTATCCTTCCGCCAGTAGTACTGCTTAGTACTGTATGGCAGGATGTACCGACCAACGGTCACCCAAGAAAAGCACGACAACTGATGATATGGAACCATCGATGATCTATGGAACCCCATTAGCAGCGACTAGCTGCTGCTGGTTGCATAAGATAGCTGACCCTTGCATGGTCAGAAGTTCCTACCGAGGCCAGGTACTGAACTTCTGTACCTTGTACCTTGATTCGAACGTTCCATCGCAAAAAGTGCAGTGCTGGGTTCAATACTTGACCCCTTCCAGTGGAATAGAATTATTGTGGAATCCGGTAACTGAATCCAAGGTGGCTAAATCTAAGGAGTCACAGACACCCTTCTGCTAGTATATGTACTAGTGCAGATCAAAAAAAGAAGCAGCTTAGGCCAGTGGCTCTTCAATTCAAGCCACCGGGCTGCTACATACTGTAGTACAGTAGTATCGTAAGATAGTATAAGCTTCAGCTTCGGGACTCCCGTTTACGTGTGACGCAACCACTTTACAAATGAGGGGAATGATTCGCCATTGGGCGCGCGGGCGCGTTGATGCGTGCGTGTGCGCGCGCGCGCGCGCGAGATGGTCGATTCTATACAGTTGTTGTCTCCGCAGGAATAGGCATTGAGTTTTGATATTGTACCGCTATGCAGGGGGACTCTCCATGCAAAGCCTCTATATGTATGAGATAATCGTCGAGCCCCGTTGTGCGGCGGACACAATATGTCTGCATTCTATGGGGAAGCATTCACGGAACGTCGCGTCTTGGTTCGAGCATGCACCCTTAGCGCTGTGACTCATGGTGTACTAGCATCCAGCTCAGCCGCAGATCAGATGAAATATCGATATGATCGGCCGATCGTTCCGTCCGCCTAGCTAGCAGTTATCATTATGTCTGTTCATGTCAGTTACATATGTGTGTGTGTGGCCAATTACTTACATAAGCTGAAGCTAGGGTGCCGAGTCACGACGGCCGTCCCGGAGTCTTCGGCCGGAAGGATCTAAGCTGGATCCGATGTGTACGAATCCCGAAAGAGTCGGTTGCAATACATAATTGGGTGTTCATGGCCGCGCTGTGCACGTGCGGTGGGATATTGGCATATACTTATTGAGTGATCGTGTGACGCCCCTAGGTGAGACAACGAATTGAGTGAAGCGTGGAACAGCAATCTGGCTGCATGTGCTAGTGATAAATTTGGGTGTCAAGTATGTGATGACTAGCCAGATATAGATGTGGATTCGTTATTGGGCGGGGACATACTGGGCGTTGGGATAATGGTCGGGGGATTTGGAGGATGTACGAGGTTTCCGAGAATGGTGCGAGAAGAAGTGATCGAGTGTGTGTTTGGCGGGGGGGGGAGCCAAGCGAGGCGGACGGAAGGGAGTGTACGTGAACAGTTATGGACGGGAACGGAATTCATTATTCAATGAAATCCATTTTGGGGTCTTTTTCTGGCATGTTCCATCAGAAATTCAAATGGAACTTCATTTGAATTGCTCCTCCCTATTTGATATGAGGAAATGAATGGATTATGTATATGCTTCCGTGGCCTAAGCCTTGTTCGACGTGGGTGTGAACCATGTGGTACATACAACAACTCAAATGGGTTCGCGATCAGGTTGAGTACTTTACTCCTGTGACACGTATCCGCACGTGATGATCGATGACGGCAGTCATCCCAAGTCAACCCAAAGGTTCATTTCGAACGCTTAGGCGGCTCCCGCATGGCCAGTTGCACCCGCGCCCTTGGTCCCGGTCTTTGGCTCTATCGTTGATCTGGAGACGTTAATTGACCGTGGAGTACATAATGATGCTTCCCCTCGTTGCTGGATACGCTCCTCCTAATTATAGCCAGTCACTTATGCATATGCTGTGCTGCTAGTTACATACAGCAAGGAGCTTGTGCTGTTACAGTTACACTTGGAAAGGGTGAAGAAGGATATGTAAATAGCTTGGCTCCTGTCCTTCGTCATAGAGCTGTGCGTGCATGTGTGTGTGTGTGTGTGTGTGCTACGTGTGTGTGTGTGCTGCGTGTTTTGTACCCACCTTGCCCTTGAGCGACCCAAACTCGATGATTCAATCCCTAACCAAGACCCGGGAAGTTCTCTCCTTATCTTTGAGATAGAGAAGAGTCCAAGAATAGCGTCTAGTAGTAGTATATACAGCTGCGCGAGGTCACTCCATGCTGTAACTTTCCGAATGGAGCAATAAGTAAACCAACCACGCGGTGCAACTTTTTACACACCCTTATTGACATTCTCCCGGAATGTACCGAGATCAGCCTTCCCTCTTCCATCCATTCCGTCAACCCCTTCCTTTCTCTCTCTCTCTCTTCACCACCACCACCACCACCACCATCAATTCCGTTCCTCTGTCGTCGAATCTGTTCAAGGCGGTTTATCTGGTGTTGCGTGTTGTGCTAAGCAATTCTTAAACCTAAAAGAGTTCTTCCTCCACTCACGCAACTGCTACGCTCGCTCTTTGCCAAAACCCGCCTTGACAAAACTAATATCATCTCCCTCTCCTCCTCCCCCGCTCCGCTTGTTTTGCTTTCTTTATTCCTGGTGGTGGTCGCTTCTCTTAATCATTGTGCCAACGTTGGTTCTCTCTCGGCCCTCTCTCAATCACGAAACCGTCCGAAATACCAAACCAAACAAACTCCATTTTAAACTTTTACACCCCCCCCCCTCCCCACCACTTTGTTCTTGCACGCTCACATTGCGAACCGCAAGCGAACAACGTCCTGACGCTATTTTGTGTTGTTTGGTGTTGTGCGTGTGCGTGTGTGTGTGTGGGGTCAGAGATTGGGAACGTCCCTATCTACTAGTTAGATAGTGTTACGCCTTCTCTCTCTCTCTCTCCTTCGTTCTTCAGCCCCCTCCAACAGTCTCATCAAACACGTCGACGCGCAAAGGCTTCAAATCAAACAAACTCTGACGCAACCCCCCAAATTGCGTCTTTGTGATTTCAGTGATTCAGTAATTACCACCTGCAGTATCTTTTTTTTTTTTTTGAAATATTTCAACCCAACCCCAACCCCAACCCTTACCCTACTGCTTTTTTTTTTTTTCAACCCTTAGCTACCTATCCTTCTGGCAGGGGGAGCCTTTTATATTTTCTTACCCCCCCCAACTAGCTTTCTTCCAAAATGGACGGTGTTTCATTTATCCTCATGCCTGCTTCTGCTACCACTGCAACTGCCAGTCCTCCTGTTACTGCTGCTGCCGTTGCCGCTGCTGCCAACCCTACTGCTCCTGCTTCTGCTGCTGCCGCTGCCGCTGCTGCTCATCTCTCATGGCGACCGGTGCGTTGTTTTAGTTCCTTATCTCTGCTGTTTGTTCCACAGCGCTCAACCTTTCCTAACATGATTGATTTCCATTTTCAATGGGCATGCGGCGTTTTGGCTTTCCGCTCGGTTGTTGGCTTTTTTTCTTTTTCCGCTCGCTCGCTCAATCACGCCATTGGGATCTCCACATGTCGATAAAACTAACCGAACGCCAAAACAAACCAAACGTTTTTTGGGGGACTTGCTATTCCGTTTTCTTGTCATACCCCGATGTGGTAATGTTGCTGTGACCTGTGTGTGTGTGTGACTCAACAACGGAATTCTTATGCGCTCCGGCGGTCAACAACCTCCTTTGATTTGATACTCATCCCCGCAACCGCGTATGATCTCCTTCCCCATCACTTTCTTCCCTTTTTTGCACTCTTGCGGTTTGCCGTAATAACTTGAACCGAATGTCCGACCAATCGAAACAAAAATAAACGCTCTCCCCGCATAACGACACACACACACACCCTTACACACTTGCATACACGCGAAACGAACCATTAGACACCTCGCGACTCGCCTCTTCTCTCGTTGTCAACATACGACTCGATTCATTCGAGAGCATCTTCTCCTTCATTTCGTCCATCTCCTAAACTCCGTACTGCAACGCCACCAGTGCTTCCTATGCTTCTACCTTTCCATTCACCTTCGTCTTCATCCCCTTCGCGTTCTCAACCGCAAACTCCAGCCTCGTTTCATTACCCTCATCATCAATATTACACCACTTCTCATCCTTCCACTCCTTCCTCTGCGACTTGCCCAGATTACCATCCCGCTACTCCGAGTAAACTAGCGAGCTCTTCATTGCTTTTAACGTCCATCTCGCCATCACCACCACCTCTACCACCACCTTCATCTACCGATACCCACTCGTATATTCACAATTACGCAACTCCCAATACCCCTGCTTCGAATCCTACTTCAACTACGAACAGTCCACGCTTCAATCATTCCTCACCTCGCTCATCTATCTTTCAATACCCGGCTTCCGTTCCGATGACGCCTTCTTCGTCGATGGGTCTTCCGAGTCCTACGTTTCCGCCGCGTAAGCTGTCCTCACTACAGCCGCCAGCGCCACCACCACCATCAGCGTCAGCGTCAGGAGGAGGATCAGTACCGATGACGCCGACGCATTTGTCACATGTTCATTCTCCTCGGACTTTATCCCCTATTGTTCCGCCTCGATCGCCTGCTCGTATGCCTTCTGTTGTAGCGGTTTCTGGTGGGGGAGTGATGACGACTCCGAGTAGTGCGGCTAGTTCTCGACGAAACTCGTGGCAAGTTTCTTTGAGACTTGCTTCTAGTCGGGCGGCTGGAGCTGGAAGGAGGAGGGGAAGCATTTTGTTTGGTGGGCGGGGGAGTTTTAGTAGGAGTGTCAGTAGGAGGAGTTTGAAGGGGAGTGTGGTGGGTTTGGATGTTGGGGAGGGAGAAGGGGACGCGGAAGGGGAAGGGGAGAATGTGGTGATACCGTTTATTGAGAGTGTGCTTCAAGAAGGGGACGTGCTTGGGGAAGGATGTGAGTTGAATGGGGAGGTGATTAGGTGCGTGAGCGTTAGTGGGTGTGTAGGGGACGGTAGCGGTAGTCGTAATGGGAGCGGTGGCATGACGAGTCCGCCTAGAGGAGCAAAGTTTGAGGTAGTGAGGAAGTTGGGAACGGGTAGTTATGCCGTCGTGTTTCTCGTGAGGGAAGTGGTGAGTGGGTTGAAGGAGGAGACGACAACGACGCCGACGCCGACGTATGGTGGAGAGGACGTATTTTTGTTTGATGAGAATGAGTGTAAGCGTGGTGAGAGTGGGAGGAAGTATGGGAGGGAGTTTGCGATCAAGTGTTTGAGTAGGGCGAATTTGTCGTCGGCTGATTTGGAAGTGCAGATGTACGAGGTGAATTTCTTTTTTTTTCTTCACTGTGTTAGTTTCGTGGTGATTATACTGACAAACATAATTTTTTTTTTCATCGTCGTTGTTTATCGTGTAACAGGCCCAGATTCATCACTCGATTGGACCTCATCCGAACATTGTGACGCTTCATCAAACGCTCGAGACGCCTTCGTATTTGTTACTCGTGTTGGAGTATGTTCCAGGCGAGGATTTGTTTTATTTCCTTGAACAGTCGAGGGATGGGCATTCCTCTGTTACCGCTGCTGCTGGATCTCCTCGTTCGCAGTCCAACACAAACTCGAATTGTCACTCGGGATGTGAGTCGTCGCATTCGTCTGGTGGGTCTACCCCTTTGTCTTCTGTTGGTTTGTCCCTTGGAGAGGATTTGGACTGTATGAGTCAGAAGAGCGTGAGTGGCGATGGTGGTATTCCTGTGCCGATCTGTATGGACGCGGGTGGTGATGGTGATAGTGATAGTGATGAGATGGGGACGGGGATGGTGAACACGCCGCCGACGCCTTCGTTGCTTTCGAGCGTGAGGCCCGGTGTGATGTTTAGTCAGGCGAGATTGAAACTTGTTGCGAGTATGTTTAAGCAGATGTGTGATGCCGTTCAGGTGAGTTTTTTTGTTTGTTTTTGCCTTGTTTCTTTGTTCACACAAAGTGCTCAAAACGGTTTTTATTTCTTATTTGGATACATGCATACGTATAGGCATGCCACTCGCGCGGGATCGCTCACCGGGACATCAAGCCTGAGAACTTTATCGTGACCAAGGCCGTTGTACCGACCTCATCCCAGTTGCCTGCTGCTGCTGCTGCTGCTGCTGCCGAGTCGTTGAACGAACAACGAGTGGTGGTGAAGTTGTCGGACTTTGGATTGGCGACGGTTGAGAGGGAGAGTGCTGATGTTGATTGTGGGAGTGCGCCTTATATGAGCTTTGGTGAGTTGTTGTTGTTGTTGTTGTCGTTGTCGTTGGTCGCAGTGAAGGGACTGATCCATTCTTATTTGTTGTTAGAGTGTCGGAATAATGTTGGACCGACGTATACTACTCAACCTGCTGGTATGTGATCACTCTTTGGGTCATTTCTCTGTTATTGCACGTCATCGTCTTGCCAAGACCCCCTCCCTGCTTGCACATGGGCACATGTGCACATGGTTGTGGGTCGCATGACAGTTTCTGTGTTCGGACCTCGGAATGATGTCTCCACGTGTGTGCTTGAGGGAGGGGAGCGGGTTACTTTGTCGCCAAGACATGAAGGCACGCTCCCTCGCCACGGATGTGCATCCCCGTGTGTCTGCGCCTCCCAAGTGTCAGTTTTTTTTTTTTCAATATCTCATCCGGCGGAGGGATCAGGGACGCATCATTCCTTCATTTTCGACGCCGGTGGGATGAGAGCCAAATGATGGGTGGTAAAGTAAAAATCCGCGTCGGAGTCGGATTTAGAGCTCACGGCTCGGCACATCCAAACCCAATTTTGCCGAGACATCTTCTTTGGGGGGTGGAACCCAAAATGTGGATCACGAGACGATGGGAGCCTTATGGGGGGCCCTTGTGCCTTTTTTGCATTTGAGGACCATGTGGAACACACTGAAGGGGGCCATTCAGTGTGAGTGAATAGGCCAAGCGAGCAATCCAGTTTGTGGTTTAACGCTTGCGACTCAATTCATTCGTCACCACATGGTTGTTGTTCTTTCCCTTCATTTTATACTTTCCCCCTTTTTTTTCTTCCTCTGTGGTTGTGTGGATTTGAAAGAACTGACGTTGCCGTGATACTTTGCAAATTTCTAATTTCTAGACGTGTGGAGTTTAGGAATCGTGCTAATCAACATGTACGTACAACCTCTTCGTTTCTCTCTCTCTCTCTCTCCCTATGCTGTCTCTACCTCCCTTCTTTGGACCCTCATGGTGGAGATTCCTCTCTTCCCTTTCTTCTTTTGTTATTGATTCTATTTTAATTCTCGCATACTCGTGAGGCCTGCCCGTGCGCTTCAGGGTCAGCGTTGGCGCGTGGGTGGCACCCCGAGTTGTGTATGGCTAATATGTACTTCCATGCGTGCGTTCCTTTATGTCGCTCGGCTTGTGGGCCTAGGGCGCCGGATCTGGTTGTGGCGATGTTTTTTTTTGGGGGGGTTGGTCAAATACTGAAGATCTCTCCTTTTTCTTAACCGCTTTCTCCCCTGTGATCTCCCTTATTACTTTCTGCCCTCTGCGCGTTACTGCTTACTGTTTTTTTTTTCCCTCTGAATCGGCTTTTCGGCTTCTCTTGTTCGCTTTCGGTGTTCACGTCTCTTTCTTTACAGGCTCTATCACCACAATCTTTGGCAAGACCCTTGCCTCTCAGACCCTGCTTTCGAAGAGTATCTCTCTAGACCTGTTCCTTTCCTTCTTCAACGTTGTCCAGGTATGACGCGCCACGTTGCCGAATTTCTCGCGAACAAAGTCTTTTGGGTCAGTCCTGGTGCGTTAGGATTAGAGGAGCCGGGCGTAGACGGTCACAGTGGTGATCGTGGTGGTCGAGTGAGCGCTGGTGATTTGGGCGAGTGGGTCAAGGGGTTACCCGCTATGTTCGGTGCTGGTCCTTTGGGTGCAGCCGTGGCCACTGCCGGTGATTCGATGCCTGCCCTCGAGAAGCCTCGTTCTTCGGATCATGTTCTTCGAGATGCACAACACCAATTCGACTATGCGGAGGAAGATGACGGTGAAGGCGATGTTACTATCCGTCCACGAGACGATCAAGTTGATGACGAGACTTTTGATGCCGCAAGTGTTGCGGAAGAGGAGGATGCGGGTGCTACGCAGCAACAAATCTTCTTGCAACAGGACATGGAGGCTGAGCCCGAGTTAGACTCGACGTCGTCGCAGCGTGTGTCGTCGGGTGTTAGGCAGCGGAGACGTGGCGCACGGAGGAACCGTGGGGCGTCAGTTACTCCAAGTACAGTCCCCTCAACTGTCTCTTCGCCTTTCTTGGCTCCTACGACCCTTCCCCCACCTTCATCTTTTATTCTGTCAACATCCCCCCTCCAAAGCGCGTCTTCTCCGAGTGAGGATCAGCTTGAGTATCTCCGCAATGAGGCACAAATTCTCGCGAGAAGACTCTCGCGGAAGCAGCCTCCTCGGTCGCGTACTGTTGTCAAGGAAGGTGACAAACAGCAGCAACAGGTATCCGTTGTCACAGCGCTTCCTGTGCCTAATCCCACTCCTATCACGACTCCTACTCCCCTTCCTATTACTTCATCATTACCTCCTCTACCCGCGTCTGTGCCTAGTCCTCCCCCACGACCCGTCCCAACATTGCGGAAGAAAACTTCCAAATGGAACGTCTTTGGCCGGAAGGATACCCCCGCGAGCGCTTCGTCCCCAGCCCTCGCTAGCCCTCCTGTCAATAAGAAGGGTGGCAAGAAGGATCCGAGCGTTGAGGTTGTGGAAAACATGATTTTTGCGCTTGCTTCGCCTTCGTCGTCTACCTCGGTTGATTCTTGGCGGGTAAGGAATGCGTCGACTGAGGCTGTTGAGACCATCGATAAACCGTTGGGCAGCTTGTGGCGACAAAGACCCGATGCTCGTCGAGGGCCCGCTCCTAATCCATCCCCCTCATTCGCATCCCCCAATTGGCGGCATCACCCTCCGCCACCACATTCCAGCTCTTCCATGACGGCTCTGTCACAATCCCCTATAACTCCTCAAACTCCTCAGTTCATCATGGCCTCTACTTCCTCTTCTCCCCATCACAACTCGAATTACGCATCTTCGATCTATTCCACCGCGGGAACAAGCATGAAGAGTTCCGGCTCGAGTACGTTTACGAGGTTCAGCAATGCATCAGTGTCGACGTTTGCTACGACTGTCTCTGCTTCGTCTGGGTTCAGTTTGGGTGGCGGAGTGGGTGTATTGGGTGGGATGGGTGCTGGTAGCAGTAATGGTAGTGCGAGTGTTGTTGCTGAGAAATTGAGCGGTAAGGGGAAGAAGAGTGCTGAGGTGGGTCCGCTGCCGGAGCCTAGGTCGACGCCCGTGAGTGTACCGGCTAGACCAGTTGTCACACGACCTCTACCTCGAAACGTTAAACGTGAGTCTTTAATCGTCTATTTTTCTGTTTTTCGTTTCTTGTTTTGTTGGAGTGGCGATGATTGATGGGTCTGATTAATTTTTCCGTTAATTAGCTTTGCAAGGTGTTCCGTGGCTCTTGGGTGAACCTCCACAGCGGACTAACGGCAAGAAGGTGCGTGTTTTTGTTTTTGTTTTTACTTTTGTCTTCGGTTAGCTAAGTTTGAACCTTCCAAATAGTCTGAGGGTGACGTTCGACGTCGAAAAGCCCAGCCTTCTAACCTTGATCCAATCTCTGAACGTCCGAAGAAATGGTCTGGTGGTGGCGCACGGGGTGGGGGCAGGGGAGGGGTGCGTATATCGGCGGGAGGTGGAAGTGGGAGTGGGAGCGAGTCTGAGGGTGAGAGTTCCGCCGCCGCCACGTTGTCTACCACCGCTGCTACCACCGCTGCCGGTAGCAGCAGTGCTGGGACGGTGGGACAACAGCAACGACAAGGACAGACGCAACAGGCTCAGAGCTCAAGTCAGAGTCAGAGTCAAAGTTCGTCGGGTGGAGTGCCGAAGAAGGTACAGAAGGGTCAAATTGCGACACTTGCAAAGGTGTTGTCCAGTATTCGTCGCAAGGATTGAGTGGGGCTTCTTCCTTTGAAGAATCCTTCTTTCCTTTTTCTACCTCCTTTGATTCTTTTCTGGTGATCCCCCTGGTCTCTTTGCTTCCTCTCATCGCACACACTTGTTGCATATCCTACCTACTCCGCCTTTGATTTCGTTCCTTCAGCCCACTCCTTGCCTTGCCTGTTGCCCTGCTTTTTTTTCACTCATAATCATCATCATCATCATTCCGCCGTATCCAAACCTCGTTCCGCTTCCCTTTTTCTCTGCACACACGAGACTCAAACTTATAACCCCGCTCACTCATTTTTTCATGTACACACAATCAAATCATGCTTTATACACTTGTTCTTATTATTTTATGTTTTTCTTTTTTTTTTCTTTTCGTCGATGCTCAATAGTATGTCCATTACCCCCCCGGTCTTATCATACTCTATATTTTTTTCTCGACTCATCTCCTTCGTTTGCTCGTCCCTTCGATCAGTCAGATAGTCAAGAGTGAGAAGGAGAAGAACCAAAACGAATGGGGGAAGGGGGAAGGGGGGGGAGTTGGTGGTAGTGATTCCGCTCTTAGATGTGGATTACTTCTTCCTTTCCTCAACTCCATCCAACACATCCCCCCCCCAACGCAACGTACCCTCCCCTCCCTCCTCAGCTTGCCGTGCAACAACCAGTGACCCAAAGGAGGATGGGACCTGATATCTCTCTCCCGGTTTTTTCCCTTGGGTGAAAAATCCCCCCAAAGTTCAACTTGAACCAGCCAACCTCCCCCCCCCCCTACTCCCCCGCCACTCGACTCTCGTGAACTTGTCTTCTCCCAAGTGTCGGCTCGACTCTATGCCCGTTCACGCATTTTTCGTTACCTCCCCCACCCCCCGTAACCCGACCCCCGTTATCATCCTCCCACTCTTACACTATCGCCACACTCGGTCAATCACTCCCGACCCATCATCATCACAAGGATATATATATACAATATCAATTCCCTCTCCCCCTCTCCCCCCTCCCGGCCAACCCCCCAACCCCCAACTCTCAATTGCACGCCTTCGTATCCACGAAACGATTCCGAACACTGACCAACCAGACACGCAGACCTATTTTCGTGTCAGTGAAAAAAATCATCGACTGGCTTTTTTTTTTATACCTTCCTCATATATCGTGGTGTGCTCATCATCACTCATCCAAGAAGGGAGAGGGAAAAAAGATGAAGGGGAAGGGGAGGAGGGGGAGGTTTTTGGTCTCGGTTATCTTATGCTCTCTCCACCACCTTGTTTCTTTTACTTCTCGTTTCCCTACCCAACCCCCAACCCCCCCTTCCGATCTTGATATCTCTCACCTGCTCAACCGCTTGTTTTTCTCTTTATCATTTCGGACTCCCTCTCTGCTTACAACCAACCCCTCCCAAAAAACAAACAAACAAACAAACAACAGCAACAACAAGAACAGTAACACTCGTTTCCATCGGACGTTCATTCTCTCTCTCTCTCTCTTTTTTTTTCTTTTGTAGAAAATAAAGCAAATTGACATGCGTGCGTGCGTGCTTTATCTTTGTCCTTTTCTTTTTTTTTTTTTTTACTATAAACGCCACGTCGATTATGTATGTATCCCGAATCGAAATTGGAACAAAGACAAACAAATGGATGGATGCTCAAATTGTGTCTTTTTTTTTCTCGTTGAGCTGCAACCCTATATAGACAGAGCCTAGCCTGCGGCGTTTTTTGATATGAGACCCTTGCGCAATTAAGGGGGAACACGGGGGAGTCGACGGGGTATGTACTTTGCCTAGCTTGAAGTCAACTTTGCATTTTTCATTTTATGTATGTAATTAACAACAGAAACCGTATTGCATGTATGTACCTATATTCCAAGTGCAACGTTTTTTCTTTTTTTGTGTCCCATGCGCGCGCGCGCGCGTGCACCCATGACCGACCAAAACCAAAACGCATGGATTGCTGTGATGGGTGTACGTAAAGCCAGCTAAGGGGAGCTAGTATTGCGGCCCCGCTGGCTTGCCTTTGCTGCATTTCGTTTGGTGGTGGTGGCGTTTAATTTGTATGCACACACATATATACACTCCAATTCGCTTTTCAAATCGGTTAGAATCCCGTTAATTTCACACTACGAAGAATTAAAAGGGGGAGGAGGCCAATTTGTGGCGATCGTATTACAGGTGGTATATCCTGCATCATGACTAAAATGGACAACGTGTACAATCAATTGCATCTTGACCTAGTGAAGAGGGGAGGGGTTGAAAAAAAAGCAGGGCACTTGTACTTGTGCCGTAAGAGGGCGGCTTCGCTTGCAGTATGATGGGTGATTACCTCCGCTACATGCTTTTCACATCCGCCGCTGCACTACATCCTCCTTTCCCCCCGGAAGCGCAGACCCGGCCCCTCGGAAACAAGGGATAACTAACATTGAACGAAGGGAAAAAACTCACGCTTCTGGGTAAGCTTCTGGTAGAAGACGAAGCTTGCGGGCACCCTCTTCGCGTTCGCCATGCATGATTGCACAGCACCCTGAACCCCCAATCAGGTTGAGCGCTCAAGGACCCCCTGATCTGAGCAGAAATGGCTGGCCAGACCAAAGCGCCACCAGTACTTAGAAGAACTTGCTCTAAAGTAATAGGGAGGTATCTAGATCCAGGAGCCGTATTCCGGAACATAATCCTGAGCAGCTGAGCATATGAATTAATTCGGTTTGAGGGATTTCACATCGAGTTACCCCTAGAACCTTGGGGACACTTCTAGGCTTCTCTCTATTCAAGACCTCATGTTTGTCATGTGCCTTGCCCTTGCACAATGCAACGCGAGAGCATCAAAGAGATCAATAAGCAAGTTCCCCCATCTTCGTTAAACAGCAACCATTTGGAATTGCATAAGGACATCGCTACTAGGTGTCAGTGATCATGATAAGTGCAAATTTAATCCATTGGGGTTCAATGGAGCCCGGATGGTTTGTTTCTGCAGAGCAAATCAAGAATTCACAAATTGACGATATACTTCCGTGGAAGGGTAGCGGAGGCTGAGGCTGAGGTATCTATTAAAAGTGCGCAGCCCGTGCATGACGCGCAACGCGGCGACGGAGGCGCGAGAGCATGTCAGCGTCAGCTGAAGTTTGCCCAAGAGTGCAACCTGTGCACAGCACCACAAAAAGCAAGAGAGACGCAGGTAGCACATTCTACCGGACTATACTCACGCCTCGTAATACCTGTCCAGAGGGGGACATCGTGAAAGTTTTGCTGGATCGATACGAGTACCCCGCTGATCCGCCGCTACCCCACGGACTAAAACTGGGGGTGGAGTCTGGAAGTTCCGTTTCCCCTGGAAATCGCATGCCCATCGGACAAGAGAAAAAAGAATGAAAACATGCTCCATGCATAGTAACAACCATCTGATCCGGTCGTTTCAAACTATCCTTTAACCAGTAATTAGGACAGGTCTAATTCTTGGATCATCACACTTCAGTTGTTGACTCGTACGAAACAACGAACTATCTGAGGTATGTATGCCGACCGTGGGTAGTTCATGAACTTGTAGAGCAATTGGCTGTACCCCGGCCAGGCGGAAACCCTATCGTAAATTCTTCTTATGATTCGCAATGCCGGGTTACAGCAGCGATCGCCAGACGAATGATCACACGGCGCGACTCTGAAAGAAAGAGAGACCGAGCGGGGGAAATCTCTGTTCCGGTGGCGGGTGCGTGAAGACATGGCATTCCGTAGAAGAGGGATTCTGCGCGGTCCAGTGTCAGAACAGACTTTTGAACGGCGAGAACAAGAATTTGGGTATTACATACTGGGCAGTACCTGCCTTCGCTGGAAAGAAGCAAAGAACTGACTACTCAGAGACTCGGAAATAGCACGATTTTTCCAGCCTGATGACTGCTTCATTGGTCGTGACAGAAAATCTCGCGTGAGCCAAGCTGTGGGAACGAAGGCGAAGCTAACAGCATTGAGGCATTAGAACCAAGGACAGCCCCGGGGCCTCACGTAGGCAATTCCAGCTCTATGGTACACCCGTGCGGAACAAACGCGTGAGAATTTGGATCCAGAAGGGCAGAAGGAATGCTCATCGTGATTGTAGCTGAAGGCGAAATCCAGGCGCTGTTCGACGGGAGGTAATGCGTTGGGCACCCGGCGAACAAGGTCTGAATTTAGCGCTATTACTGGTGACCCAACAGACCCATCCTCAAGCACGACTCCACACGTGGCACAGCAAGTGCCCGAGATTGGCCGAGCGCCGTCCCAGCCAACTATGGCAATACATGCGCAGTCAAATTGATCCCATTGGATCCGAGATGAGAACCCCGCAGACGAAGAGTGAATCCACAAACTGGCAATATTTTCTCCATCAGGTAGCGTCGGTGTCAGCTGAATGCATACCAGAAAACTCTCAACACCAACAGAAAACATTTCCCCCAGACCTTATTGTGGGGGAATTGGTCCTCTTCCCTGATAGTATCCGCCCAGCGGGGAGATATCAAGAAAGTTCCCTAGACTGGTTGTAGCACCTTGTGACTCGTTGCTACCCCGCGGGGTAATCCTAGGTGGAGCCCAGAAGCCCCGCTCCCTCCGTGTGCCCATCTGGCAAGTGAGATGAGAACAAGCCGAGTGCATAGCGACGATTAATAATCTGATCGTTCCATGCACACAACAACCCAAGTGACTATCCTTGAAGAGGTGACTAGAACGAATCTCATTCCGGGATCATGGTACTGAACCCGGTAACTCGCACGAAACTCGAAAGCTGCGTGAATTCCATGAGATGTTGTATACCGATCGTAGGGTGTCAATTGACTCGTGAAGCCACAAGCGTTCTCGAACCGAACTCAAGCTAGACAGAAGATTCTCTCGTGAAATTTCCTACGATTTGGGGTGATTCGGATCCAAAGCAGTGAACCCTCGACAATTGAAAACATAGTGCGGCTTAGAAAGAAAGAAGAGCTGGCGGGCGAATCTCCGATGGCTAAAGCCTGGAGAAGCAGCTTTTCACACAAGAGTATTTCTGCGCAGTCTAGGATGTTGGGACATCCTTCCGTGTGAAAGAAGGGCCATAGACTGGCAAAAGCTTCAGGCATCACATACTTGCCCAGCAGAGTAGACTGTGTACAAAATCAGGGAGCCCTAGCAGCCCAGAGGGCCGAGAAATAAATCTTATTGATTGCGTAGGGGGTGTACAGCCAGGGACAACCCTGAAGCGTCAAGTGCACCGCCCAACGCTGATTCGAGCATCATGGCACGCACACACAAATGGGTAATCGTTATCGCGTAGCCGAGAACGAGGCGCTGGTTGAGGTGCTTTGATCTACTGCTCTAAACAGTGCTATGCGCTGCAGTCGATTGCAAGGTGCAGTGTTATAAATTAGATTTTGCTTTCCGCTTGTTCACTTCGATTGGGATGCTAAGAGCCATCTGAGTGGCGATAGCGACGCAAAATTGCTTCTCTCTCCAATCAGGATCAACTCGACCTCCGGTCCCAATCTCGGACGGGGATGTCCAGACTTCAGAACGAACCTAGGGGAAGCGGGAGTCGTAAAAACAACAACAATCAGAATCAGTTCCACAAACCTCATGGCGTCCTTGCCAAATAAATCTTCCGACACTGAAAACTCCAAAGGTTGTAGGGGAAATATAGCCAGGGAGACTGGACAAGCTGAGTTTAAACTCAAGATTCAGCACAAGCGTTGGGAACCAACTTCGAATTAAGCTGTGGGTAAGGATTTGAGACAGGCTAGGTGGCGGTGATGACATACCTGTCTGGAGCAGCAATATCCTTGGGAAGTATTCCAGGAGTGTTCCTACACAAATCGGCGAAGAAAGGGATGGCAGGAAGCCCTACTCGCTCACCATCCTTCTCGCCGAGTAGTTGATACCCTATGATGGGGGATTAACAGAAGGATATTTAGATGTGATGTGTATGCTGCCTACACTGGGCGTGATCAAGACCCCCATCAGAGTCAGCGGGGTTCTTCATTTTTTCCAGTGTTCTTTCGGCGACAGCATGATCAAAACTTGATTTCAGGCAGTCTCGGAAAACCAATTTGGAAGGCAGTTGATCGATATTTCCGGCAGCGGGATGCGAACGGAAAGGTATGCGAGTGGCGAATGGGTGGGGTAACGCCAGACTCGGCATCGAACGGTCTTCAGGGATCTTCGACGGATCAGGTAGAGTCCCAACGATTACGCGCGACGTGATACACATATTTCCCTACAAAATTAAAGTTGGAAGTGGAATGATTTAATGGGTAAAGGCAATTACCTGCTGGAACAAGTCGGCAGTGATGTTGGAATAACGACGCCCAAGCCTATGAGGCCTAACATGCACTTCAAACTGACCAGGATGGGATGGATTAAGATAATGTGAAGATATGTGAATGGGATCGAGCTGCTTTGGTGATGAATTGGACTGGAAACTTATGACCGCTTGAATGATGCAGCCCATCAGGTAGCCTTGTTGTTTAGACGGAATGCGCTCAATAAACGTCACAGCAGGCAGAGTTGAAATGCAATACTCACCCCCATGTGACACACTTGGATGTCGCGTAACGAGACATCACGGTTGATAAGGTTTTCGCTGAAGTCTGATTGTTTGACTCACGCTTCAACAGTCCACGGATGACAAAGAGTTCCTTCATAAATATGCGTTCCATCATCGAGCTTCTTGACCAATTTGCTTTTGACAGCATCGGAATATCTTCCCATTTCTTCCGTCATCGTGTACGCTTAAGAGAAGCACGATGATAATGTGGTGGCGCGTACAAGGGCCGAACGGAAAAGGGGACATCCAATATTAAAGATGATCACATCACGTGTCATGAGTTGACACAATAAGTTGACAGGTCTAAATGCGCCCTCAACCCGAAATTCGTGCCTAGCTGTTTCTGAAATCTGGAAAACTCATCACCGAAGATCTTCGGATCGGCGACCATAACCTGGCGAATCGGCATCCCCTCCTATAGTATAGTCCAAATCCTCCGACATGCAACTAGGTACCATAGCATGCCCGCTTGGTGCTCATTCATTTCAAGCTTGTAGGACTCAGCTGTTAAGATGACTAGCCGTAATACTACAATGTGAAGAACACATATATTTTAGCGGGATCATAACACGAGTGAAGCACCTATCCTCTCGCTTCAGTCTCATGTAAGAAGGTGGAAGAACGAAAGGGGAACTCTTCGCGCACTACAGTGTGAGATCAGAGAGCTAGTGATACGAAATGCGGATGAAGAAAGATAAAGAAATGTAGCCACACCCTCTTGAGTTTCTAGTGGCGCATGCCACGTTAGCCGCCGTCGAATTTCCAACATTAGATGTCGGACCAACGGTATGCGATGGAAGCCTTGATATTTTTGGCCTCTGGAGCCAACGGAAGGTCGACCATTGCGGTATTTGATTCAAGTTATAAGGCCATTCGATGCACGAATGTCCATACGCGCCTGAAATTAACGCCCCAATTTTCCCACAAATGGCTCCATTATGTATGGGAAGCGAGGGTATACAGTACCATCAAAGCTTTGGCCGCAGAATACGGGCGACTTCCTTGCCGTTCAGGCATGTGACCATGGTTCGCATTGGTTTCATTTAGGCTCTGCGCGACTCCCCACCGAAACGGGGTCTTCCCCCCACACGATGGCTCGCTGTATGCGACGCTGTGTAATATTTAGTAGTTCTTCATCAGCCAGGACAGAACCGTGGTTGCTTGTGGGTCAAAAGCAGTTCGGCGGAGAATCGGCTGAGACACGGATAATGACACTACGTTCAAATCGGACTTCACTTACTAACCACCGGCATCACAAATCAATAGAAGGGCTCTTGACTGGTCCCCGTTTCCCCTCAGGTCAATTGCCTCGGATTAATCCGTCGGAATGGAAATGTCACGGATCCAAACTAACTGTCAGCGGAGATGGTCGCTCAATTCGCCAGTGTTTTGCAACTGCTTCTTGCACAACGTGCGATCTTCTGCATTTTCATTTTGCCTGCATCAGACTTGAGGTTGCAACCTGTATTTCTGGAGGTGACATCATGCGGGCTTGTTGCAAGGCTGAAATCTGTTCGACATTACGGAAGAATCCTTGGCGCGGGCTCATGACTTTGGTTTGATGAGGAAACTCTGGTCGGAAAATGCGGTGATGCCCTTGTGCCTCTCTTAGAATCCAATAGCAAGCACTCGCGTGACCCGCTTATGATGTGGTGGTCAATCATGCCAAATCAGTTAGGAATCTGAGGATGACTTGGTGCACTGGTTCTCATATAAACGTCGCTAGGCTTTAGATGGTCTAGCTTCAATATATTTATTAATGGATTCATTAGGGCTAAAGGGGCGCGATTCTGGCACCTCCACCCAGTTTGGCTTATGTAATTGAGGTAGTGAGCAGAGATGAAGGCCTTGTGATAATACCATCCTACTCCGGATTGATCGAATCAGATCCTAGCCCGATCCCATCCAACAAAGGAGTAATATTACATAAGGCAACATTACGTTGTATGATTTGCCTTAGAACCACCCGTTAGGCCACGAGAGTGCCTTGGCTAGGATTGAATCCTATTGTAGTTTTGCGGCTTTTGCAATCCGATTGTACAACATGAGAATAAGGACGCACAAGTGGAACACCTCGCGACAATGATCCAAAAGAAACTACGACAAGTAGAATAATCTATAAGTGTTGGATGATGCTGGAAGGCGGTTTCACGTTAGAAGAGGATAAAGGAAATTTATATAGGGGGTTGGGATCAATGACAAAAGACGTCGAGACCGACGCTCGTCTCTGGCGCTTGGCGTCAGGAGTACCTGACGGGGCAATAGGACGACCAGCACTCGGCATTGAAGATAATGAACTGATGGTTGAGGATCGGGGTTTAGTAACGGATGTGGTCAATTTGTTGGTAGCCGAGGTTTGGGTTGGAAGTGAGCCTTTGCGGGGGGCGGCTCCATGAGCCCCTGAGCCATGCGGCCGGTTCCTGCAGAAGGGCCACGTTAGCCGAACAAACGAGCCCCGGACAATCCTCACACTCACCTCTTCTTTATAAGATCCGTTCGTAGGGATATCGGTCGGTCAACGCCATGCAATTTCTGGAGAGAGGTAAAAATGTTGATCCATCAGAAAAAAGAGAACGACTTACATAGTACAAACCGCAAGCATTGCCTAGTCAAGATACTGTAAATGCCCGGCTTGAATATCAGGTAACAACTCCACTCACATAAAGGCTGGCCGTCTTGGTCTCGACGCCATAAAGGCGTGGTCATAGTCTCGCAATTGGTGCAAACTGTGGGAGGACTCTCCCCTTCCTCGTTCGATGCGCTGCCTGGGCCAGAGCTGGGGCCAGGAGCTTCAATACCTGAGGTCGAATCAGCTCTCCGCGTGCCAACAGCGGAGGCTCCACCAGGAATTAAGCGAGAAATAGAACCAGCTGTCCCTCTAGCCTTGCCCT